TACTCTATAGTGACGCTGAAGACGCATGATAGTCTTCTTATCTCGTCAATTATCTTGAGGACATGGTTGGCTATTCAAACTGTGGTGGCAATAAGAGTGTATAGATGACATAGGCACGGGTTTCTTGGCGTACGTAGTTGGCAATGGCGCACTCTGAATGGCTGCACGTTTGATTGTCATCATTAATAATGGGCTGAGTTTCTGACCATACAAGCTGACTGGTCGCTCAGTACTCCCACACGATTCATGCTCTTGACTAGGATAGGCCGGGTAAGAAGTGTCACGTAATGAAGTCAGTACAGGTGCGATGTCTCCCTTTGCGCTTTCGGTATTCCTTGGGTTGATCCAGGGGTCATGGGATTGGGCAGGTTGTCCTCTGCTTACGATTACCTATAGTAGAGGTAAAGTACTTCGAAAGGACATGTGAGTGGGAAAGAAAGGTACTAGGAACAAGAAGGATCTCTGAGCTGGTCGATTATCGAGGATGATAAGGACGTAGTATCAAGGCCGTGAAGATTCTTCCTCGACCATTTCAACGCGGATAGTGAGAATGAGCAGGCAAGCCGACCACTGGGATAATTTAGTCAAAGTGAGAAAATCTCCTACCAACAAAAAGGAAAGAGCCGGGTAAGTTAACCTGGGCGAAAGAAAACTGGGAGATAGGGACTTCGTAGAAGCGTCACCCCTTTGGCTCTCTATCGCCGTCTTCGGCTGAATAGGCAAAAGATTGGGTTGCCTTGTGTTCTATCGGCGTTTAACTTGCCCCGATGATACCAAGCCATCCGACCAGGGGCATAACCTTGCGAGGGTGAAAAAATCGAGGTGTTCTCCTCTCTTGTCAATGCATGTGACCGCATATCACTTACCCGCCGAAGCTAGTAGGTGAGATGCATGAATCTATGACTCTGGATGCCTTGTTTGTCAGCTAGGGAAGAGGGAAAATCCTACCGAGGGGAGAAATTTTCTACACAAGGCAAGTACTATGGAAAAAACCGTGGTAAGTGACGGTAACCTGGATGCTGATGGTGTGATGGCTTGCAGGCTGGTATGTAACCATGTGGGGAGGGCGAGACCTTTTGCACCGTAGTGACATCCTGGGTGGATGGTCAATGGCTGACTGACACCACCAATCGATTGCAAGGATCGATACTCTAGTCTTGCCGTGGTGGTTGAAAGTGACAAGGCGGTACTCTGATATTGAGCGAAGTCGGTGGCTCAGTTGCGGGGTATAGGCCCCATGTTGTCGCTAGTCTTATTGATAAACACGAGAGAGGTTATCTGGGAGAGAAATGAGGGAACAAGGATGGTGATGGATGCATCGGTAGATTTGGATGTCACAATATCCGATTTAATCGTGTTGGTTCTGCTCTGCTGCCGTTGGCGTGGCGAGCCAGATTGTTGGGCCGGATACTGGCACATACCGAGCCAAAGAGCGCAGAGAAAGCATCAAGGTTTGGGACGGGAACACAACATGTTCGCAGCTGCCGTCTCCTGGCCATGCAATGTATTGCTGCATTGCAACACGAACTCGACACTCAGCTCGGCTGGTTGGTGTCTTGTGGCCGACTGCATCAAGAAAGCGGACCAACCTCAACCGTGATTGATTGCATGGCGGTGGAGTCGAGGGGTTTTTTCCACATCATTATGCAGCCGCCATGGCAGGCCCAGGGATCATCATGGCGGCATATGAGAGAGAGGGTGGATGGGCATGGCCGTCTTCCAGTGAGAAGAGGTGGTTGACGGCGGTTGATGATCAAGAGACAGGTTCCGGCGGCTGATTGGCCCGCGGAAGAGGTGACGGCAGGGCAGCCGAGCCAGGCGACAGGCCAATCAGCAGCCAGGACTAGACGCCGAGAGGAGGGGCCGCAGCAGGTGCAGCCCGTCACAGGGGTGGATCCTTCCCGATTCGGTATTGGCTTGCGCGACAAGTGCAAGTGCAGCTGCAGCGTAACCCGCACGCTCTTTCCTCGAGGGCGGCCTGGGCTGCTAGTCCCGGCTCTAGTGCTGCTTGGCCCTGCTTCTGCCTGTTTGCGGGCTGCTGCATGCTAACCGCCCAACGAGCCTTGACGGTGTGATGGTACCGCCGTGGCCCTCCATGCTGTGGGTTCTCTCTGCCGCTGCCAGGCCTGGTGATTGGCTCGAGATGCAGTTGGTGCATACACTCGGCTGGTCGACATGCGCATGTGCCTTTGTTTCCCGGCTGACCGTCGTGCTCCTCGTTGGCTGCTGCCATGGCTGATGGAGGGGGGACGAAGGGCCGCCGGCCACAATGACTGGCCGCCTCTGTCCCATCCTCGACGACTATATAGCACTCCCACAGCCGCACTCTCTTTGCGATTTCTTCTTCTTTTTTTCCTTAGCAAGACTTCAAGTTTCAAATCCTCGTTTTTTGTTTTCCCCTCATACCCTTTTTGTTTTCGTTGTTTCTCTTGTAGAGCAGGCTCTACCTTTTACTTCTAATCCCACGTCTCTAATATCACCGTCTGAGAATACCCTCGCCAGGTCCCAGACCCCAATCACACCAAGTTGCCGGACAACTTGTTACCTTAGAGGCAAACCCTTACACGCAATTTACTTCCTCATGATCGCTTTTCAAAGCTCTTAATTCAACACCCAATTAATAACGAAATTCTGTGGATTTCGCTTGCTCAGTGAAGATATCGTTGCTCGACAACAACCAAAAAAATCTCTATCAAACTATCAAACTGCAGTTCACAGCCCAAAGCAGCACTCTTCACTTTAATTCAGAACAACTAGAGTACTAGAAGGAAAAGAAAATCAAAATGCCCTCCACACAGCTCTCGTTCTCCCTTCGCGTCTCCTCTGGCGTCAAGACTGTCCACCTTCTCGGCTCCTGGGACGGCTACACCGGACAGCTCCCTCTTTCCAAGGACAAGTCTTCATCCAAGTCTGGCTCCTGGAAGGGCACCTTCCGATTCCAAGAATCCACACTCGAGACCGGCCAGCGATACTGGTACTACTACATCATCGATGGATACCACATCGCCCACAACCCCGGTGTCGACTCAGTTGTTGAGCCCACCACTGGTCGCGAGCTGAACATTCTTGATGTGCCCACAGACTCCCACAAGTCCTCCAAGTCCTCATCCAAGTCAAGCAGCAAGAGCTCTTCCCGCCACTCTTCCAAGGACTCCAAGTCATCCAAGTCTTCCTCCTCGTCCAAGTCTTCCCACAAGTCGTCCCGTAGCAGCCGAAGCTCCTCCGACATCCCCAAGGGCCGCCCCCTGTCCATCTCTCAGATCCAGGCCCCCAAGCCCATGTCGCCTTATGCTACCCAGCACATCCTCAATGCTGATCTCTACGACGAGGACGAGATCGAGGCTCTCACTGCCCGCTTCGGAGCCGCCGAAATCGACGAGGACGCTGTCACCAACTTCAGCACCTCTCCCGTCTCCTCTTCCGGCTCCTCGCTGTCCTACCGCTCCGACAGCTCCTCTCCCTCATCATCGCTCTCAGGCTACAGCACACCCAACTCCGACTGCAGCACTTGCACTTGCGAACGCTACGGTATCACCCGCAAGGGCGAGCGTGTCAAGCTTGACTGTGGCGGTGCTCGCTGCGCCTATGGCGATGACAGCTCCGACTGCTCCAGCTCCGGCAGCGAAGATGAGGAGGATTACGAAGAGCCAGTCAGCCGCCGCCACGGCATGGTTGTCAGGTAAATGGTCAATGGGATACCTCTTGATGACTTCTTTTTGGCGCTACGCTGAAAGAGAGATTCATTTGTTTTCTCCTTTTCTCTTCTCAGGGTCTATGATTATTGGCCACTGTGTGGCAGCTTCATAGATTGCCTGCCCCACGTTGTTATAAGTTATTGTGAAGATGTTCACCTTTTATCGTCATCACTTAATCTTTTACTCACCGCGCGCCGACTGGGCTTACCAAGCCGGTCTTGGTACGTCTCGTCCCTCGAGCGCGCGTGTGTCACGATCGAGTCGCCCAGCGACCCTGATCCTACCTGCGAATGTGGATCCCAGGCGCATAGGCATTACCTCTTCCAAGTGGTGATGCCTTTGCGTCCTGGCCAAGCCACCATCAGAAGTCGAGTCAGACTACGTCCTTGGCTCGCTTCTCATCGTCTCCCCACGTATATCTGAAAACAGCGGAGCAATCCCTTACGGATTCCAGCTCCTCCTGTCAAGTTTCGGAATTGGTGTCTGAACGTTGCTCGTCTTGAACGTTCAGACACACTAGCCACTTGTTTGGTGCGGTGGAACGCCCAAGGCAGGAAATAGCGACAAGTGCCTTGAGAGATAGGCCTGCCTTTTTTCTTTTGTTTTGGGTAGACGACGATATGAATCTATCTAGCTAGTATGAATGTCATGAATTAAATTGATTACATGAAAATGCCTGCTCATTGTGTGAATGTGACTTGATGGGAAATCCTGTAGCGTGCCCACCAAAGAGAACGAGATCTTCATACAGGCGGATAAGGGAGCTCGAGTTGAGCGCCATGCTTGCTTCGTAGACAGGCACCGTACCTACCTGCCTATGTATGAGGTAGGATCGGCGTGAATAACAGTGGATCAATATTGCAGCCGCTGGCCAGTGCCTTCTCGCACTGCCCAACTCTCCCTAGAAGAGGGGGAGGGGCAACACCACAGAATGCAAGAACACCCAACGCTCCTGCTTGCATTGACCTGACTATTCTGGGTCCAACAAAATCACAGGTCAATTCAATTAGCGTCATTGTACTCACTCCTTTCCTTGCGTATGTGATTTGGTCGCTTGCTGCATCGTCACATCAATCTTTTCAAAGCTGGCAATAGGACGTGGTGCAGGCTTCCCCACTTTCTAGCTCCCAACTTCTACACCGACTGTACCGAATTTCTTCTACCAGGCTGAGGGCAGTTGCAAAAATGGCAGAGGAAAACCAGCTCATTCTCCCCATCATTGATTCTCATATTCATCTCTACCGAGAGGAGGACCTTGACAATGTCAACTGGTACAAGCCAGACGGCCCCCTAGGTGGTCCCCACTCAGTTGAGCAGTTCAAAGAAGCTGCCAAATCTTCCCCGTCGCTGCTGGGATTTGTGTTTGTCGAGACCGATTTCAAGTATGACCTCGAGGCCGGTGCCGCCGATGGCTCTGGGTGGGAGTTTCCCCTGCAGGAGGTCGAGCGATTGAAGCGTATTGCCTTGGGCCAGCCAGAGGAGGGCGATGGCGCCTCCGCTGAGGACGCCAAGCTGTGTCTTGGTATCGTCCCATGGGCCCCGATCCCAAGCGGTCCGGAGGTCTTGGAGAGATATATCGAACGTGTCAAGGAGGTCGCTGGGGATGCTTGGCCCAAGATCAAGGGCTTCCGTTACCTGCTGCAGGACAAGCCACACGGCACCATGCTAGAGGAGAACTTCGTTGAGGGTCTGAAGCTGCTGGGTCGTAAGGGTCTTGTCTTCGAGGTTGGCGTTGATCACCATCGTCGCGGAAAGAAGCAGCTTGACGGACTAGTGGCCCTCATTGAGAAGGTGCATGACGGCGTGCCTGAGGAGGACAGAGTTACCCTCGTCGTCAGTATGTTGCAGCCCACCTCTTCTACGCATTTTCTCTTAATCCTATCAAACCATCCCCCCCCTTTCGTCTTTGGAGATGTATTAATGTGAACATATAGACCATCTCTGCAAGCCAGATCTTACCATCTACAACACCACTTCAGACCGCGCCTTCCACGCCTGGCGCACCGCTATGTACACCCTCAGCAGCTGCTCAAAGCTGTACATGAAGCTGTCTGGTGGATTCTCCGAGATGCCCGAAAGCCTCAAGAACCAGAGCGCCTCCCACATCTTCCAATCGACATTCGGTTGGCTGGGCATCATCCTGGCCACCTTCGGGCCAAACCGCATCATGTTTGGCAGCGACTGGCCCGTCTGCACAGTTGGCGTTGAAGATGCCTGGGCTAGGTGGAGGGATATCGTTGAGAAGATGTGCTGGATGGCGACATTGAGCGACGAAGACAGAGCCATGATCTTCGGAGGCACGGCGAAGGAGGCGTACGGACTGTAAAAAGGAATTGTATTGACCATGTTCTACCACCTCCCAGCCGCTATGAATGGAGAGGATTGTTCTATCTAGCCGGGCAAAGGTACATGAAACTGGGTGCGAAACGGTCACACATTGTCAGTGAGATATCACCACTCTAAACATTCGGAGAAAGGCCAACAAGTTTTCTCTCATTTGCTTGCAATACATTCAATTAATCAAGGCATCTCTATGCTACAGCCTGAAACTTCCAAGACAGCTAGTTCATCATTAATCCAACGCCCTTTTCCATGCGATTCGCCCAAATATCATCCAACCAATCAGTCCGCTCAGGAGAGCGAGGCTACTAATTCAAAGACCAGAATGGGAAGAGAAACAAATAGCTCATTAATCTTGTCCTTCAAAGCGACCCATCCTATAACAGAAAGAGGGGTGTCACTCGTCGTCAAATCGTTCATCATTTCCTGCCCCCTATCACTCTTACTCGGCTCCCCGGCCCCTATAACTTCCCATCTTCTCGATCGAGCTCATGATACCACTTCGCGCGACTCCTCCAGGCCTTGGAAGACCTCCTGCGCTCTTGGTCCTCTCGTGGGGTGCCCTGGAGACGGTACCAGGGGCTCGCAGGCCAGAGGCGCGGTTCCCGGGCGTTGCCCTGGGGGTCTTAGCTGGAGGAGCTTCAGCATGATGCTGTTGGTAACGCTGTGGTGCGGGTGTACGCTGGATCCTATGTGTTTGGGGCTGGGCCTGGGGCTGAGGGGCTGGCTTCGCTGGGGATTTCGGAGGTGCGGACGATGAACCAACGAAGGTCTGCATGCTCATCATCTCCTCGGCCAGTTGGACCAGCTCGCCCTTCTCAATGCGCTCCTGCTCCAGCATACCCCGCAGCTCCTCATTGTCCTTTTGTACGGTCTTGACAACAGCCTCAAGACGCTGGACATCTGCGTTGAGCTCCTTCATGGCAGTGCTATCCTTGACGGCCTGGGACTTGAGCTCCTCGGCCTCCATGATCGTGCAGTTGGGGTCCATCTTGGCCGCCGTGTTGTCGCGCTCGGCACGTAGCCTCTCGTTATCCCTGTTGACGTCCTCAATGCGGGACTCGAGTTCCTTGATCTTCTTCTGCCACCTAGCTTCGTACGACTTCTTGAGAGCAGCAACTTTGGTTTCGTGCTTGCTCTTGTACAGGCCGTGCAGCTCCCGAGCGACCCGCTCAACAGCAACCTCTATCTCGTGATTGCTTGTGGCTGCCCCCTTTGGCTTGTCGGGGGAAGACGCCGCCGACGACTTGTCCGAGTCTCGTCCCGCGCGCATCCCCGCCATCTTGCTCTCTGCTTCCTGATGCAACATCTCGGCAGCTTCGCGACGCTTCTCGCTCTCCTCAAGCTTCTGGTCCAGCTCCTCCTTCTCCTGCTGACCCTTGACAATTTCCTCCTTGACTTTGCGAAGCACGTTCTCCATCTCGCGACCACGGCCCTCCCAGTCTTGTAGGTCTTCGTTAAGCTGGTCTTTGGCAATCTGCTCCTCGCGTAGTTTCTCGAGAGATTGGCCAACGCGCTTCTCAGCATCGCCAACTGCTGTCTTGAGGGAGTTGACCTCGGCCTCTTTACCGCTCAGGCTCGCCTTGAGGGAGCTGATCTCGGACAGGAAGTTGGACTTGAGCGTTTCGAGTTCTCTGGGCGTGATGGAGGGGACGCTGCGAGGGGTTGGCATCGGGGGGATATCAAAATCGATGAGGTTGCCCATATGGCGGCTGGGTGTGGCCGAAACCGAAGGCGAGTGGCGCGAGGTGAGGAAGTTTCGCCTCGAGGGCGACTTCTGGGGGTTTCTCAATTGCTCAGTGAAATCCATGAGCAGGTTGGCCGTGCTGTTTTCCAGATCTCTCCTGGGGCTCGGACGAGGTTTCTCTGAAGGGGATGGCTGGGCTCTTGGTGCCAGGCCGCCGGCTCTGGCAGGGCTGTAGCCGATGTTCCCGAGTGTTGTCGGGACAGCAGAGAAGGCACTGAATGTGCTGATCATTGTGTCATCCGGGCCAGCCGTTTCGTCGTGTGCATCCAGTCCCAAAGTGTCGGCGCCTTCGAGCATGCTGAGGTCGTCTTCGAAAATCGCAATGGCCTTCTTCAGGCCTGCATTCTCCTTCATCGCATCGTCGAGGGTCATCGTCCGGGGCTCGGGCAGCACCTCTTGGGGCACCTCTATGAGCGGATTGCTGACCTTAACAGGAAACCTCTTCACCGGTGACCCCTTGCGCGGGCTTCGAGACAGCGATGGAGAGCTCGAGGCTGAGCCCTCGCTGCCCTGGCTTGTTATCCTCTGTTCGGATAAAATCTTCAAAGGAGACAGCTCCACGCCTGAGCGAACGCGAGTATGGCGAGACTTGGAGGGCGAGACGTTTTCTTGGTCATCAACGGATTTCCGCTTCACCGCTGAGCTAGATGGAGAAGGGCTTGCTGCGTTCTGGTCCACGGTAGCGGTCAATGTGACAGCTTCAACATTGTATTCATCAGTTTGCTGGGGAGAGAGCGGCATTCCTCGGTTGAGGACTGAGTCCTGAGTGGGTGAAAGTGGTGTGGTCATTGTACGTATCGTAGACGGACCATCAATAGTGGTAAGAAATAACAGTCCTGAATATGTATCGATGAGTTCAGAGACCGGTGAAGCATCAAATGTTAGCGCGGAGCAGGTATTAGTTCTCTTGCTGCAGTGGGTCGAACCCCCATATCATGTCATAGCTCATTGTTTATTTGTTGGCCGGGCAACAGCCAAATGTCTCACGTGATTATGTGGAGGTCTTGTTCTGATGCAGACTCGTGAGACGAGACCCTTGCACGGTAATGTCCTTTGGCTTATTAGTTATTTTCCCGAAAATTGGGATTCTCCGTAGTGATTATCAGTTGCCCGGGGAAGACCATGCATTCCTTGCATGGGGGATTTGTGCAACATTTCTGTCAGGATGTCACGTGCTGCTCGCCGGTTGACTCAACGCGATCTCACGCCTCTGAATATCCACAGACACGGTTCAAGGTAGCACTAACGCAAGGCAGCAACATCCAATGGGCTGTCTCTGATTTGAAGATACGAAGCTGCATGGGACTGTGAATATAAGATAATCTAGACCAGAAACCCCAAGTGAATTTTTTACATTCTTCAACCTCAAAATCAGTTAAACTCCTGATATCAGAACTTGACTGCCTGCTTGAACGAAGTGATCTCTCTTTAAAATCAACTTTCAACATGGCAAGCACAGATTTCACCATCGATGAATCCCTCATCGCCAAAGTAACAGACTACATCAAAGAATACATGTCCAACTACGACCCATCTCACGATTTCAGCCATATCCAGCGAGTTGTCAACCTCGCCCGCCGCATCCAGGCCACGGAACCATCCACCTCCCTCCCAATCGTCACTCTCTGTGCGCTCCTCCACGATGTGGGTGATAGAAAGTACCTAAAACCCGGCCAGGACGCCACCCGCATGATCAAGGATCTCCTCATCTCCTACAGCGTCCCCGAGCCTCTCGCGGACAAGATCCAGACCATCTGTCTCGGCGTCAGCTACTCCAGCGAGGTCAAGGACCCCGCGCGGGTCGTGGAGCTCATCAGGCTGCACCCGGAGCTGGCCGTCGTGCAGGACGCAGATCGGCTCGACGCGATCGGGGCCGTGGGGATCGGCAGGTGCTTCACGTTCGGGGGCGCCAAGAACCGGGCCATGGACGATTCGATAGACCACTTCGCGGAGAAGCTCGTCAAGGTTGAGGGTATGATGAAGACGGAGATGGGGAGGAAGCTGGCGCGGGATCGGACAGCAAGAATTGAGCAGATGCAGGAATGGTGGCGGTTGGAGGTGGAGGATTCTGCTTGACATGTCGGAACGGAGCCATGTTCATCCCACTTTTGGTAATTTCATGTATTGCCAATGCTGCTTTGCGGAATGCTAATCTTCAGCATCTCTTGACGTTTGATGAGGATAAGAATGACAAGATCTTGGGGCGAATGCATGTTGAAAACCGCCCCTGCAACTTGGGTGTGGCTATTTGGTTTCTAGTTACAGAGACGATGATGGAGTTACTATAGTTCACGCATTAGAAGGAATTCCTCTCCAAGGTTCCTCATTGGGTACAACCTCTGGGGTCAGGCCTTTGATCTTCCTTTCATTCGGGGCATCTCAGCCCAGCTTTGTGCACAATGAACCACTGGGGTGTAAAGATCCTCCATGCTCCTCCTACTGACTTCTCATAAAGAAAGTAAATGAACCTTCCAGCATGCCTCGATTTCTTATTCATCTTGGGAGCATTGCCCACAAATTGATAGTTAGCATTATCACACTACACTTTTCTCCTCACAGCTTGCGAGGATCGTGGCCATGTTCAGTCTCGTATGCTTAGCATTTTTATAGGCACGGTTTCCCTGTAGCCGGCCTCCTCGCAGACCAGTTTGAGATAAGGGATATTATCCTATTGATGGGGAAAGGGATTAACGAACTTCTTTCTACGTCATTAGTGTCGTTTACTTTCGGCATAGCCTGTCGCATCAATGGCAGGGCTTGTCTACTTTTGAGTCTTCTGAACGTGAATAGTTACCGGGCTAGGTTGGGATGATTCACGACGATCGATCCAACTCTAAATTGTCTCCAAGACAGTCGTGCTATTTTCCTCGTTTAACGGCCGACAAGAGGCTGATTTATTCCCTACGTATCACTATTAGAGTCTGGCCATCTTCATGCCTTTAGCTGTTGACTTCTATCCAGACCGAGAGAAGATCTGATATTGGGTCAGTTTGACGGCGTGAAGCTTGCAAGTCCCGCATGAACATACATAACTACCGGCGCGAATGATCCACTAGAGCATGGGACAGGCCAGGATCGCTCATCGTCAATCTGACATGTATTTACCGACGCGCAATCAAACTACCCAATGAGGGTTTACTGCTTACTCTCAGCGCGGCCTGCCATGTTAACGGCACAGCTCTTTTGGGTGAGACAGTCTGTGGACTTTGGGTCAAATGGTAGTTGGATCCCCGCCACTTTGCGCGACTCATATGAGAACCTTGACGGTCCAATAAGTCCACGACTCAGGGGAGGACTAAGTGTATTCTAAAGTACATCTAGCATATACATCGCAAAAGCCTCATATTCTTGCTGCACCGTTTTTATTCTCATTTTATCTTATTCACTGTCTGGTGCTCAGACGATCGCCGCTCGCTCACTCACAGGACCTCCTCCCTCTCACTCACTCACGACTCATCTCATTCAGAATGAACCCTCTGCCTTCAGAAATCCTCATCCACATTCTTGACTACCTACCGCCATGCAGCCGCAAAGATGCACGTCTTGTATGCCGTACCTTCAACGGCATCGTTTCCAGGTCACAGTTCACCCTCCTAGCATCCTTCCTCGACCCCGAGGTCTCCACCGCGACGTGCGAGCTCATCGCCAGGGACCTCACCAGAAGACCATCGTCAATCTGGTCCCCGCGATGCTCCGTCCCCGCCAAGCTTCCCATCCCAGAGAGCTTCATCCTCGCACTCCACGTCGGGCTGGCAGGGGGCCGTTCGTGGATCGACGGGGGCGGCGTCGGATCGGGCAAGATGGTTGGCGTGAATCCACACGGGTTGTCACGCAGGTTAAATAGACCGGATATCACAGAGGACAACATCCGGCAGGCGCTGTTTCGGTACGCGCTCTACCTGAGCTACACTCATCATGAAAGGGAGGATAAGTCCTCCTTCTCTTGGGTCCTGGACATCAAATTCTGGGCATGATTCATCTTTTGGGAGTTTCAGGAGTATATCGATGTTGGTTGATTTATTGCTCGTGAGCTAAGGAATGTACATCTATATATCATATCTCCCGTAATATATCCGTCATGAGATGAGTCCGTCTCCTCTGAATAAGACATTAAAGTTAAAGTGTAAAGTTAAGTTCCGTTTCCAATGATGGTCAAGAAGTGATGAAAACTCCAGTTCCCCGTGTAAAAAGTTATGTGAAAATGCAACCCAAATGTCCCGCTGAAGTTTTCAAAGGAGTGTTCCTGTGTGTGTGTATAATGCATCGCTATCCCTGATGCCCCTTGCTGAAAGTCAAGTTCCGAAATAATAAACGCCGGTGTAAAAGAATGCAAAATCAGTCCCGTTCCTCATTAATAGATCAGTGTCTTTTCGTGAAGGCATGATGTAGTTTGCTACAGCACGTAGGCGGCGGCGAGCCCGGCGGCGGCAAGGATGAACTGGGCCTTATTCGTCATGGCTCCTGAGGTAGGAAGGGAATTGGCAGCGGTTGTCGTAGGTCCTACGGGGACACGGAACGTAGGGCTGCCGTTGTTGCTGTTGTCGTTGTTGACGTTGTTGTTTCCCCATCCATGAGCGGGGTTGTGTGTGGGGGCGGGGAACGATGAGAAGCCAGTTCCCGTACCAATAGCAGTTCCGGGGAGAGGGCCGGTAGTACCGTTGGTTTGTGGGAAGAAAGGTCCGTTACCACACTTGAAGCCAACGCAGACGACGGAGGAGCTAGAAGCGGGAGGGTTGGGGACAGGTACGCTGGGGTTGCCTCCTGGGTTGACGGTTGTTGGGACAGTGACAATAGTGGTCAACGTCGAGTTCTGGTAGGGGTGAGACTGGTGAGGCGGGCGGGTGGTTGTGGGCACAACTTCAGTGAAAGTGGGAGAGCAGCCGGGGAGGGTGAAGGGCTTGTCGGCGTGGACAACACACTGTAAGATTTGTTAGCTGGATATTGTTTATGGAGAGAATGAAACTCGGACGAGGCCTCCAACATACGTTCTTGACACAGGCAGCATCACCAGCATCGGTTGAGCTCTGGTAGCATGAGGCTGGGCCACCGATAGGTGCGTAGCCGGCTAGATTGTTCGAGCACCGTCCAGCCTTTCCAACACCGTTTCCATCACAGCGTAAGATGATATCACCACCCAGACAGAAGTTGGCGCTCGGCTTGGTGCAGTTGAAGATGTTTCCGGCCTCGGCCACTGCCAGGAGGCAACTGAAGAGGATGGCTGAAGTCTTCATCGCTTCAGGGATCGATCGTGATAGTCGGTGTTCAAACGAATGAGTACCAAACAACTTATTAATATTTCCAACTCTTTACAATAGCGAGTGAATAGAGTCCAATACAAGCGATTGTGTGATTATACGGATGGGTGTAGCAACCAGGAAGAGGTACTGCTTGGGTGGTCTGCCTCACTTATATACAGCAAGCGAGAGATACGGGAAGAGCAAGACTCCCGGCTTCATTGGGCATGGTGTCAACCCGAGAGCGCACATGGGGATCCGGATTGCAACCGAGCCACGCCATGGATGTGCCCGTCTAGTGGGCATGGCCATGACTCCCCGCCAGTGACCCAGATATTGGATATTGGTACCAGATACGAGGTTCTCAGTATGGGCAAGCTTGGCGATCGTATTGAGGCCTGCCGAGTGCCGGGTACCATTGGCGGGCCACGCTCATGCCATGCACAGCAATAGTAGCATAATCAGCCGGGGCTATGACAGATGGCCAACGCCATGGGTGGTGTGCTGGTTGCGGCTAGCTGGAGGTTAGGGATGAGAGGGTTGGCCGGTAGACTG